GGGCGAAGTCGCGTAGCATGATGGTTGCTGGGAATGATATATATATATATATATATATATATACATATATATAATTTGTACACGTTGACAGAGCCATTAAATACCCCTACCTGCCATGAGTCACCTTCCATCAAACTATATTTGGCACATTCATTTATTATTTCCTTGTAATAATTCATACACATAATTGGCAAAACAAATTCAGTTTATCAGGCAAGCCAATTTACTACAAGGCTGGTTTTTATGGGATTTTGAGGCAAAACTACACACTGCTCCTGTTTAATTTTCTGCTGTCAAGAATAACTTTGAATTCAAAAATGGAATGTACAGTGATGCAAGAAGAAGAAGAAGAAGAAGAAGAAGAAGAAAACGAAGAGACTTTTCATTCTCCACTGCAAGAGATAATTACGAAGACGAAGAAACACGAAGAAACGAATGGCGACGAAGAGACGATCAAGCTCTCTCTCATGAGAACCATTGTTGAAAACAAATTAGATCCACCCCCATCTTCCAAGGTTCATGTCATCATCTCTCTCTCTCTCTCTCTCTCTCTTATAAGTGATTATGCATAAAAGTGTAGTTTTAATCCTCTAAACAGCTACTCCACACTTATGATTAAGTGTTTTTGGAACTAAATTATGGTGGAGTTTGCAAAAGCTTTTGAAAAGTGATTCTGAACTTCTAATTTTTTGGGATCATAATCACTTTTGAAGTGTTTGCAGTACCAGCTCTTGCTTTTACTTCTTTTAAAACAAGTTGTTATAAGCTCTAATTTGAAAAATATCCATAGACCTGCATTTTCTATTTAAATTGATTTTCCAGCATATTTGCAAACATCTCATTTTTTTAGAAATAAACACTTAATATTAATTTAACTCACAATCACTAACTTCTATTTTTAAATAAGCTTCTGCAAACAACACCTATATCCATTGACCGCGCTGAAATTAATTAATTAATTACCTAACTTCTTCTAATAATGCAGGCAATTAAAAAAATTATAACACTTATTAGTAATTAGTTTCAAGTTCAATATATATATATATGCACTATTCTAATTCTTGACCAAGTCGTTTGGTTTGGTTGGTAGAGCTGACAAACCAACTTCTTTATATAGTCAGGCCACCATGTTAGGACTTCAACTAATTAGGGTTTCAGTCCGAAGTGTACACCGGATAAAAGTCTCCCACAAACCAACATGGATGTGTGCGTTTTCGTGCGAATAATCAACACGAGCGATCTGATTTACAATAGAAAATCATACCTGATTTTCGGGAGGAACAAAAAGTACTTATTACATTATAAACACAATTAAAGTACACTTAGGTGGCGTTTGCAAAGGCTTTTCGAAATAAATTATGAGCTTTTTTTTTTTTTTTTTGCACATAATCTGTTTTTACGTGTTTGCAAAACAAGCATTTGCTTTTAATTCTCTCAAAATAAGTTGTTTTAAGCTATAATTTTAAAAACACCAGCTTACCTGTTTTTTTTCTATTTAACTCAGAATCACTAAATTCTGCTTTTAAATAAGCTTTTGCAATAAAATTATACATAGTAGTTGTGAGATTTTGTTGTGGTTAATTATTACTGAACAGCTGTTAATAATAAGCAGGATAACATAGATGACCTGGCACTAAGAAGGTTTCTTCGCGCACGAGATCTTGATGTAGAGAAAGCATCCTCGATGTTCGTGAGGTACTTAGAGTGGAGGCGTTCGTTTGTTCCAAAGGGTTCGGTTTCAGAATCGGAGATTACAAATGAAATTGCACAGAATAAAATGTTCGTGCAAGGCAGCGACAAGCAAGGCCGCCCCATTGCAGTTGTTTTCGGTTCTCGACATTTTGCGTGCAAAGGAGGATGCGTCGACGAATTCAGGCGTTCGTCCCTTTTTCCACTTCTTTATTTTTTTTATTTTTTTTTCTCGTAATTTTCACGTATTCGTGTTATTTTTTTTACAGGTTTCTTGGTGTTTGCACTGGATAAACTATGTCACAGGTATATATATCCTGGAGAGAAAATATAGATAATAAATTTTGGAATAAGATCATATTATTTATTTATTTTATTATTATTATTTTTTTTAATTTTGTTGTAAAATAGGATGCCTGAAGGACAAGAGAAATTCACAATAATTGGTGATCTTAAAGGATATGGCTATTGCAACAGTGATCTACGTGGAAACCTTGCAGCTATTACCATTCAACAGGTTCAAAATAACCTTTTTTTTTTTTTTAATTATTATTATTAAATTTAGTTTTTACCACACTGTAAAAAAATTAGGCGAAATCATAAATGAAGAATCTTGATCTTGAACCTTGAACCTTGAACACAGGAATACTACCCAGAAAGACTTGGAAAATTGTTTGTGATCAACGCACCGTATATATTCATGACCATGTGGAAGATCGTTTGCCCGTTTATCGACAAAAACACAAGGAAGAAGGTAAAAATAATCTATCGATTTTCAAGTTTATTCTACTTCATAATGTGATAATCTGATATTATTAATTATTATTTTTTAATTATTACCTGTACGAAGATCGTATTTGTGGAGAACAAAAGACTGCGCGAAACTCTTCTCGAGGACATAGACGAAAGCCAGCTTCCAGATATCTACGGAGGTAAACTCCAGCTTGTTCCCGTACAAAATGGCTGAAGATGAAAACGAAAATATCAAATATAAATATTAATCGAGCATATAATATGTAATGCATTATGTATGTGTGCACATTTCGAATTCTTACGTACAAGTTTGAGGAGGAAAAAAGATACCTGTACTCATTTACGGTGGAGGGCTATGTAAATTCGACTTCGTTTCGTACCGTAAAAACTGAATCTTTATTACCAATATTTAGTTATTTACCAATAGTCTCCACAAGAACACGAGCCCTTCTCAAACCTATGAAACCGAATCCTATCCCTCACCGTAATCACTCTATGTAATAACCTCGACACAATCTTAATCCAACCGTGGCAATCGAGACAAGTGCGCAAGTTTTTCGAAATCGCAATTTCGGTCCCGGGGCTAGATTTAAGTATCCCGAAAGCCAACGCCAACTTTTCGCTGTGATAATTCAAATTCTCCTCCTTCTCTTCCTCGGATATATCCATCAAAACCAACTCTGGGGCAGGGGCATAACCGTCCATTCTCGATCGTCGGATCAAATTTTCTAATAATCCGTAAATAGCTTCGGTTTCAGGGTGTGATCTGTCGCCCGCCTTGAAGTGGTGGACCCCACCATGCAATTCAACCCAACTCTTGCCTATGCTCTTACGAACCCCCTTCTTGTTCATAGTGTGCCTCAGAGTTTCTGCATTACCCCATTTATTAATATTGCAGTATATATTCGACATCAACACATAATCGCCACTACCAAGATTCTTTATTTTATCAATAACGAATTCACCCAGCTGGGAATTCCGGTGAGTTTTACAAGCACTGAGAAGTGTCCTCCATATAACAACATCGGGTTCCATCGGCATTTCCTTAACCACCGCATAAGCTTCTTCTAGAAGCCCAGCTCTTGCGAATAGGTCAACCATTGCTCCGTAATGCGGGAGTTGGGGCTGAACTAAATAATTGTTTTTCATAAGATTAAAATACTCTCGGCCCTTTTCTACAAAACCACAGTGGCTGCACGCTGTAATGATCCCGATGAAAGTCACGGCATCAGGTGAAATATTTTCTCTTTGCATAGTTGAGAAAATCGAAATTGCATCGACTGCAAGACCATGCATTGCTAGCCCATTTATCATTGCGTTCCATATTGAAATATCGTGCTTTTTAGCAGCATTAAATACCGATTTTGCTGTTTCAATTCTTCCGCATCTTGAATACATGTCTACTAAGGCAGAAGACAATATGAAATTCAGTTCGATTTTCTTCTCTATCATTAAATCGTGCACGAACTTTCCATGATTGAGAGCTCCAAGCCTCGAGCATGCTGTTATTACAGAAGCAAATGTGAATCCATCGGGTTCAATTTTTGTTCCCAGCATCTCTTTGAAGATGCCAATTGCTTCTAGAAAGTATCCACTTTTGACACAACCTCCAATAATCGAGTTCCAAGTGACCACATCCCGGGCAGGTAATGCAGAGAATACTTTTTTGGCAATATCAATTTCGCCAGCTTTCATCAAACTATCGATCAACAAGTTGGCGGGGACCACATCGAGATTGAAAAGGGATACATCATCGAGTAGTTGGTGAGCAAGTTTGGGCTTTTTACAAGCTGTGTACACTTTTAACAACGTGGATAAAAGTGATGAGTACGTTTCGTAACCATGTTTGATGATTTTACAGTGCACAGAAACTGCGGTCCTGAAATGGTGGGGCTGCTTGCATGATTCAAGAATGGCGAAGAGCACTCGGTCATCTTCATATTCTTCAAAATAGTATGTAATAATCAAATTTCAAATACGGCATCTTCATATACTTCAAAAGTATTTTTTTACAAAGGCAAAACTTATATTCCATCGTATTATTAATACGATGCAGTAGCCGATATGAAAAACGATGCAGGGAATTTATATCAATTGAGCAGAATCTATGTTCCTCTAGTTCGATAAATAAATAATCTATAGTCGATATGCTCGAACAAGTTGATCAAGCTAACGAAAGGATAATTACGATTTCCGGAAAAAAAAAAAAAAAGCAAGGTTCTGCTCTGTCAAGTTCAAATTCACTCAACTAAACAGTAAGACAAGAATTCGAAAACAACAAGGTTAATCTGATGTACTGCTTCCGTAATTGATTTCTTTCGATAAAAAAAACATTATAATATCAGTAAGAACAATCAAATCCAGTAACTATTACTATGTAATTAAACAACACTTCCGCATAAAACAATTGAATGAAAAAAAATGATTAATGATGAATAACTAACCAGTTATTGGATAAATATTTTGCGGTGAAGCAACAGTTGGATGAGGTTTTGGGGTGAAAACGGCGGTGTGGCGCCGACGGAACGGCGGCACCGGAGAAAGTAGTCTCCTCCTCAGATTTCCATTACTGAGCAATTTCATTCGTCAATTTGTTGCATAATCAGGTTCGAAGTTCGGGCCCTAACCTCGTACACTTCGATGAAGATTCTTCGTCTTCTTCAGTTGATGTTTGCTGCGAATTTGATGCATCAACGAAGTTGCTGTTTGTGGGTGGGGTTCGGCCATTTTTGCTGGCTGAAGAAAATGGATTTGGGGGAAAATTAAATTCGGACCGTTACTAGTAATGGGCCTAGGGATTCAAATATTAATGGGCCGGTAAATATAAGACTTTTTCACTTTGGACTTGATAATTACCGTTCCATATTTACGAATACCGTTCGCAATAATTCACTATCCACGATTCCACCCTCATTTTATCTCTCTAGAGGAAAAAAAACAACTCTTAAGCTATAATATTTTAAAGGGTGTAAATTTAGATCAGATGGTCTGTTTTAATAGGAAAATCGGATGCCATAGGATGATTGACACGTGATAGTTTAAATGAAAATATATAATTAGGATTCTAATAATTGGAAAAAGAAATGAAAAGGGAAAAAGAAAACTCAGCAGAACCCATAACCCCTCTAACCCTAATTATAATCACCTTGATTTATTAAGAGTTAAGACTTAAGAGTGCCACATGTCAAAAAAATAGTGGAATCCAATTTATATTAAATATCGGCTGATCCGCTCAGAATTTAATATATATTTTAAATTGTCCCAAATCTTGTCTTATTCAAGCGATTTACAAACGAAAATGCGTGCATCGAATGGATAAGGATCGGGATAACATTACAATGAGGTAGAGATAGTTGGAATCTACCAAAATAAAAATATACAAATTAAATAATTAATGAGAAAATAAGTGCCAGTGAAACTATACTAAAACAAGAAGTTTTCTTCTATATCATCTACTCGCGTGCAGTGATCTACTTTTGCGTTCGTGTTTAATATACCAAATGCAGTTAATATACCAAGTGATTGATAATACATGATGGAGTTTTTCTAAAAGCTTGTCTCTAAAATGACAAAACAAATTAATTAATAAATAAATGTGAAATATAAAGTATAGAGATAGCAAAATGAATAGTGAATGAGGTAGTTGGAATTGGAAGAAGTGAAAAAAACGGACAAAGGGCCAAACTAATTTACAGGCAGCATGCATATATACCTCTGCGTGGCTCAGACATGGTTCATGGGGGGCGATAACCCCTTTCCCACTACCGTACGCCTCTGTCCTTAGATTATGACGTGTCACTTGTTGATTCGACACTTTCATTAATGCCCTCCTTGACCAGCTTCACCACTTGTTCAAATACAATATATATATATATGTTGTTTTGTTTTTCTTGATATATAATATAGACGAAATATGGGTGAATTGCATTTTGCACCCCATAATTAACCCTAATTGGTGCTTTGCACCCTAATATTTTCAAAGTAGCAAAGTCCACCCCACATCAATTCCTTATGAGATTTTATCCCAAGAATTAACGGGGATGTTTGATTATGTTTCTAATGAGATTTTCCAGTTTTCAAAATTTCTGATGGAAAAAGTAGATGTATTGGTTTTTGTGTAGAAAATGAGAATATGTTTGGATGAAAAGGTGTTTTTAGTTTTATGTAGGTGTAGAAATGAGAATATGTTTGGTTGTGTTGTGTTTTCTCTACGAAATTACGTGCAAAAGTATAATATAATGATGATGGTGATTATTATTATTATTATTATTATTATTATTATTATTATTATTATTATTATTATGATTGATGAGATGGGAGAAAAAATAGAGGAGAGAGAAATAGGTTAGTATGTATTATTATAGGTTTGAAAAGTGAGAAAAATATGAATAGTGTATTTCTATTGGAAATTGTTTTAAGAAAAATAGGAATTTCCAAGTAAAAAGTCTCAAACAAACATAATCTCAGTTTTATGTATAGTATAAAACTAGAAATTCATTTTGGAAATAGAAACAAACATGCCCAATATATCACGATATTTTAACTTTTGAAGGATTTTCATGCTTGATGGCCGGTATATTTTTTTTTTCTTTTTGTAGTTTAAAAAAATATTTGTAAAGCCTTATTCTAATTAATCCATTTAATTTTCATCAACTACGCATTAAAAAAAAAGTTATTAATGTCCTACACTACAGTTCTCATTCTATTTTTATTTTTAAATATACATTAATTTTATGGAAAATTTGGATTTTTTAAATTATTTTGAAAATTAAAATTGAATTAGAAATTTTATATACATTTTTTAACTCTATGCGAAACATATAAAATAAATCATCAGTTATATTTTTAAATTATATACAAGTAAAATAATTAAAATAAATATTAAGTAAGAAAACAAAACATAAAGAAGAATGAAAATTCCTTCAAAAATGTAAAACATCGCGATGTATTGATTTTTTTGGCTAAAATATCACAAGACAATTGAGGTAGGGTGCATTTTGCCATAAGATATATTTTGTGAGGGTGTAATTTGCCAATTTACAAATAATAGGGTTTAAAATGCAAACACTGTTAATTATGGGGTGCATAACGCAATTCACCCGACGAAATATTATTTTAATTTTCTTTGCAACCGGAGTCAATTAATTAATTACTTGATTAGATGCATTTTCTCGCAATTGGCAAATTAATAATATAATACATTATGGCCACATTTTATAAATTAATATGTATATATTTCACCTATGCAACTGCAATTATTTATATATATATGTGTGTAAAAAATGTGAATGTAGGATTAATAATAATAAGTTAAAAGCAAAATCAGAATTGACAGTGGTAACAGTCATGAGATGGGTGGTACATAATTCTCACCAATATATTTCAGAATAAGGTACATGCTTCAGATATCCTCTAACCCTGCAACTTAATTACCTTCCCTCTTTTTTTTTTTTTTTTTTTTACTATAATGTAATATATAATATATATGTGTCTATATTCATTTACCAACACACGGACCGAACGATATTTTTCATTCCGAATTCTGAATTTTAAATTTTTTTTGAATTCAACAGATTTCGATCAGAAAAGTTCCGATTTCGAAACAAGTTTTTTCATTCAGATTTCCAATTTTTTCAACTGAATTTGAATTAGCTAGTTTTTCGCTGCGATTTTGATTATATTTGGGATTGTTCCCAAGTTCTAAGTTCGATCCGTATAGATTTTACACCTCTAGGTACGTAGGTTCAATTGACTTCTGTTTCTTGTGTCGAACTCCACATGACATAGGCAGCAAATTAAAAAAATGTCGGAAAAGCAGGGTCACGAACGTTAGCATTCTGACGATTAAGTTGCAATTTTCGGAGAAGATGAAAGGGGAAGAAATAAATTAAAATTATGATAGATATGCCTGCAATTTACACATGGATGAAATTCTGGATGTTCTGCATTATGTAAATTTCCAATTTGAACATTTATTTTTCTTTTCATTTTAATTTTAAAAAAATTCCATAATTTTTTATATCAAAATCTAAATTAAATGTGGGATAGTTGTTATTTGTGACAAAACATATTGCAATATATATATATATATATAACCGAAAAATTTAAATAAACGAATCTCCGTATTTTTCCAATTTCTATTAAAAAGATCTCTACTTTCGAACAAAGTTTTCATTTCGATTTTCAAAATTTCGGTTTTCAAATTAATTCTACGAAAATTTGTAATTATTTCATTAAAACATGGAAAAATGTTCATTATGATTTTCAGCATGAGAGTTCTAAAAGTTCAATAATTTAAAAAAAAAAAAAATAATAATAATAAAAAGACAGCCTTAATATTTATTTAATTTATTTATTATGATCAGATTTCAGAATCAAAGGTTAGGGGGCCTGTGCCCCGACTGTAACCATCTTTATTTTCTCGTTTGCCTGAGAAACTATCTGACTTTCTTTTGTACTATCTCTGAACTCACCTTGCAAATGAATAGTATTTCTTTCTTTTTTCTTTTCTTTTATTTTATTTAATTTTCTCTACCCTCTTTAATTCTTTGCACTAGTTTTTCTAACTTCAATAACCTCACACAGCTAATAAAACAGTCAATTGTTTCATGATACACACACACACACACACTAGGCTGATCTCTCTACTCGTATATATATTTATAACATACAAGGGCACTTTGGTCATTGCATATGGGGTGGTTCAAAGTCCAAACTGCCCCTCGTGATTTTCTCCAATATATAAGCATTATAGGGTAAGATAGCCTTTTCCCACATAGCCTAGCTAGTTTTGGTTTCACTTGCAAATTGGTTTTTTTTTTCTTCAATTTTGCAAGATTTTTAAATACATTAAGAAACAGTTACTCCCTCCGTTCTCTTTTAATTGTGGTTTTGTAAGTTTTTCGCACGAATTAAGGATTTCATTAAATGTTTTTTGATTTTAGGAAAATGCATAATTTCAGACTAAAATGACATTGTCGTATAATTAATAAGAGAGATAAATGAATGGTTGCAAATTTAGATCGGATGGCCTGTTTTAATAGGAAAATCGGAGGTTATTTCTATGCTACACCCGGTGAAAGTTACACCGGGTGATTTTTTACCGTTGATCTACACGCACCAATATGGGTGTATGTGTGTTTGTGTGTATATGAATGGTAAAGATCTACCCGGTGTATTTCACCCGGTGTAGCATAGTATAAGCCAAAATCGGATGCCATAGGATGATTGACACGTGGATAGTTTAAATAAAAATATAATTAGGATTCTAATAATTTGAAGAAAAAAAAAGGAAAGCCCCAGCATAACCTGTAACCCATCTAGCCCTAATTATAATCAGCGTGATTTATTAAAAGTTAAGACTTAAATACCATATGTCAAAAAATTAGTGAAATCCGATTTATATTAAATATCGGCTGATCCGCTCAGAATTTAATCTCTAAATGAATTAATAAAAGAGTGTTGGAAATACCGCTCTTACAGAGTCGTTAGCTAGACGTCACACTCTTCTTATTCCAACAACTAAGTCGTTTTATACTATTATTAAATAAACTAGCATAGTAAAATTTGAGAAAGTAGTACTGTTCATATTTTATATAACATTAGTTTTTTTTACGTAGTAAGATTTATAATCCAAACAAATAAGTTAAGATTTAACAAATCGAATTTCTATTTTATCTCTGAAGATTTGAGATATATTGATGAAAAATAGGAGACTGAAGTCGGAAGGATTCTTCACGGTTCAGTATCATATAGTTAGAAAATTAGTACATAACACATATTTTGAAATAAATAATTACAAAAATACCATTATGATTTCTTAGGGTTGCCCTAACTTTTTTTTTTATTTTTTTTTTATATATATAAGATATCATTAATAACTTCTATCGAAGTAAATGAAAACACAATATAATCAAATTTAAGCAGTTTTTTTTTTTTTTTTTTGGTAGTGCGAAGTAATCTGCAGCCAACCAAATTATTGAGTTCTACATTCTTGTATAATAATTTGTAAACCATACAAGAGATGTAAACGACCTTAGGCTAACCACGCGTGAGAAGCGCTACCTAGCGATTGTTGGCAAGGAAATTCAAACTTGAGTCGACTTACACAAGTTCACTTGCTTCGACGTTCGTAAAACTTTCAGTTTTTCACTTCTAATTAATTATGATGCATTCCTTTAACAAAAAAATAAAGTAATATTTAAAATAGATGTTGTTACAAATACATCCTGATGTCATGAAATCCAAAAAGATATCTACATTAATTAAATTAAATTGCAGCTAGATTTTACATATGATAAAACGATATCTACATTAATTAAATTAAATTGCAGCTAGATTTTATACATGAATATAAAGTAATAATTAAATAATTAATGCTGACTGCAAGGACTAAAGTAATTAATTGCTTATATAGGATAAGTTGGAACCATTGATTTGCAGCTTTGAACAGAAGCCAAAAAAAAAAAAAACAGAACCCTACAGAGGGAGCCAATACAACAGTAGGCCGTAGGTACACTATGAGATCATTACAAAACCAAATTTAAAGGACATTCATTTTTCAGTTATTCCATTATTATTGCAGATTTTATTTTTTTCTTTTTCAAAAAGGACAAAAAAAATCTATGGTGAAAAAAAACAAATTTTCTTACAAGGGCTTTTCTGGCAAAGTACAAAAGAGCAAAAGGATGGCTAGCTAGTGTGCAGTGAATAGTGACGAGAGTTAGATGTTGCACCTGATTATTTACACGAACTGAATTTGAATCGTAGATTTAATAACTATCCACTAAGAACGCATACACATGGGTGTGTGTGTGTGTGTGTGTGTGTGATTATATTTAGACAGTGGTGAAACTAGGATTTTATAACTAAAGTGTCGAAACATATACACCTATAATAATTAAATTTCGGGGTTTCGGTATGATTTTTTTTTTCGGAAAAACCTGAAGAAATGGAAAAGATAATCTTTTAGGACTCTTTTTGCATTAATTCAGACTTTGAATGGACTAAATAATAAAAATTGAGTGGGATAAAATAAATATATACATATAATTTAGTGGAATTTTTTTCAAATGAGGATGAACTTGAGTAGACTCATTTATTATTTTTCTATGTTTTCTTCAACTACATCACTTAATTTTACTTTATATATAAAACTAAACTCTTAAAAATTATAGGAGTACAATACAAATGCAATAAATTATATATACTCATATAATAATAAAAATAAAAATTGAGACTGGCCATTGCCCCGTTTGACTCTACACTGGTTTTGCTAGTGTGTGTATATCTACGGTTCAAATCCATCAGATGTAAATTATAACTATGCGTAGGATCTAATTTCCCTAGTGATGATTATATATATATAAAAGCCAACAACAAATCAAAACCCTCAAAGAAAATCAAAAGGGAAAGTTAATTAGCGAAAATGGATCCTGATGCTTTCTCAGCGAGCTTGTTCAAGTGGGACCCAAGAGGTGCTATGCCGCCGACGAACAGGCTACTCGAGGCGGTGCTGCCGCCGCCTCCTCCGCCGCCGTCGTCGGCCTACTCCGTGAGGCCGAGAGAGCTCGGCGGTTTGGAGGAGCTTTTTCAAGCTTATGGGATAAGATACTACACCGCCGCGAAAATAGCGGAGCTCGGGTTCACTGTGAACACGCTCTTGGATATGAGGGACGAGGAGCTTGAGGAGATGATGAACAGCCTCTGCCAGATTTTCCGGTGGGATCTCCTCGTCGGCGAGAGGTACGGAATCAAGGCCGCCGTGAGAGCTGAGCGGCGCCGCCTTGATGACGAGGAAGCACGGCGGCGCCACCTCCTCTGCGGCGACGCCACCACTCATCATGCCCTTGACGCCCTCTCTCAAGAAGGTTCGTCTTACGTGAATTGCATGCATGGAAATCTGTATCTATATGTGTATGTATATATGTGTATATGAGTGTGACATGGTTTTTTTTTGTTTTGAATGTTTGTAAACAAAAAAAAGGGTTGTCGGAGGAGCCGGTGCAGCAGCAGGAGAAGGAGGCGGCGGGGAGCGGCGGAGGAGGGGTGTGGGAGATGGTGGTGGCGGCGGGTGGCAGGAAGCAGCAGCGGCGGAGGAAGAACTGCAGGGGGCGGTCGAGAATGGCGGCGTCCATGGACGATGACGACGACGACGACGACGATGAAACTGAGGGGGCGGAGGATGACGAGAACTGCGGCGGAGGGGGTGGAGGTGGTGGAAGCGAGAGGCAGAGGGAGCACCCGTTCATAGTGACGGAGCCGGGGGAGGTGGCGCGTGGGAAGAAGAACGGACTTGATTACCTGTTCCATCTGTATGAACAGTGCCGCGAGTTCTTGATCCAAGTTCAGAACATTGCCAAGGAGAGAGGTGAAAAATGCCCTACCAAGGTTTGTTTTTCTTTTTTAATCAATTATTTATTTTAATTTTATATTTTGTCCAATTTTATAAATATTTAATATCTATTTTTAAATATACAAAATGAGATAAAAAGGTAGATTTGAAAAGTATATATATAGTCTTTGCAATTTGTCTTGTATTTCATGTACTTGTTATGGTGGTGTAAATCGGACCGATCGAATTGGAATTAGTCATTTCCGATATTTTTAAACTAGTTCCAATTTCGTTCCAAAAAAATGGGAAAATTTGGAAATCGGAATTTCGGAAATTGGAACGAAAAAACTTTTTTACAAAATTGGAAAATTTTGGACTGGAGTCGGCGGAATTCGGAAATTTTCAATTTTTGCGCACATTAAATATAAAATTAATAATAATATTAGTATTTTAATTATGATAATTGGAAAAGGTTCGAAATTTTTGAATTTATTTTCGGAACTCTAATCGAATCGGAAATCGGAATATCATATATATTCCAATTTTAATCCAAATAATTTTAGAAAAATCGAAAATTCGAATTTCAGAATTCGGATTGAAAAATACCCTTCCAAAATTAAAAAAAATTGGATCGGGATCGGTGAAAATCGGGAATTCGTTCCAATTTCCACCCTCAAGTCTTGTTAAGTGTCAAGAAAATGATATATAGAACACTCCATTATTTTACCAAAACAATAAATTAAAAAAAATAATACACTTTGTTCATTTTCATGACACGTGGATGAAAAATTCCGTACAAACCGGAGCTGAATTGGGCTCAGAAAAAGCCCCAGCGAGGTGTCAACATGGGAGCGTGACAACTCACGTACGATTTTCTGGGCCTATCTGCAAAAAACTTTAAAAAAATAGGCCCAAAAGAATCACCACGCACCACTCCTCACTCGACACGTGTAAACTTCAAGAAAACAATTTATTCTTAAACTGATATTACCATATTGCCCTTCTTTCTTCTGTTTTGCAGGTGACGAATCAAGTTTTCAGGTACGCGAAGAAGGCAGGGGCGAACTACATCAACAAGCCCAAGATGCGGCACTACGTCCACTGCTACGCGCTCCACTGCCTCGACGAGGACACCTCCAACGCGCTGCGACGCGCCTTCAAGGAGAGGGGCGAGAACGTAGGCGCGTGGAGACAAGCGTGCTACAAGCCGTTGGTGGCAATCGCCGCCAGGCAAGGGTGGGATATCGACGCCATCTTCAACGCCCATCCTCGCCTTTCCATATGGTATGTCCCCACCAAGCTCCGCCAGCTCTGCCACGCTGAGAGGAGCTGCGCCGCCGCCGCCGCGTCGACATCCATCTCCGGCGGTGGGGTTGATCACTTGCCCTTCTAGTGGCTGAACAAACAAACAAACAAACTATGGGTGGTTTTGACTTTTGGGGGGAAAGTTTAATTTTAAGGGACTAAATTGAACGAAAGTTTAATTTTAAGGGACTAAATTGAACTTTTTTTAGTATTTGGTGGATTTTCTTGTAATTTTTTTTTTAAGAAGTTTGGAGTTTCGTAACCATGGCTGTTTTTTTAGCTACCAATCTTAAATTATGGCTAGGAGAGGAAATCGGATCGAAATTAGCATTTTTGAAAATGCAAAACTAATTTCAATTCCGATAAAAAAAAAAATCAGAAAATTGGAATGAGAAACGTGCTCCATAATTAAAACGTTTTGGGTTTGAATCAACAGAATTTGAAAGTTTCAATTTTGTTTAGGCTATAATACAAAATACATTTATAATATTCATATTATAATTGTAGTTTCCGGAAGAAAAAAGTCGGAATTCTTGAAAATTAAAATTGGAACATAGATCGGAATTGAATTCATTGAGTATCCGATTCCATTTTGAAAATATCTAGAAGAATCGTAATTCGGAATGCAAAATATATACATACTTCCAAAATCGGAAAATTTCGAATCGAAATCAATGGAATTCGGAATTTTCGTCCCAATTTCCACCCCTAGATACGGCTGGTGGAGCTTTTCGACGAGCACAAACTGATTCCCGAATATGCAATAAGTTAACGAGTTTCTTTTATTCAACATGAAGTGGGAAACCTCAACAGCAAATCTGAGGTTTCTGAATACGGGATGACAAATGATGTTCCAAAATCAGAAATATCCGGAACGAAATCAGCGGAATTCGGAAATTTCTGTTCCAATTTCCACACCTAATTACACCACAAATTCTAAGAGCAAACAAGCAAATGAAATTATATTACATACTACATCATGAAGAATGAGTAGGGTACTTCCACTGTACATCAGCCCAAGTGCTGACACCGTCGGTCACGTCCTTAACCACAGATGCCACCTCATCAACGTTAACTCGAATCTGCAGCTTGCTGTCTCTTTCTCGCACCGTCACCGATGTTGTTGAATCGACTGTTATCGCAAACGGCACTCCAAGTTCATCTGTTCTCGCATATCTCCTTCCTATCGACGTACCTGCACATATACATATAATGCATGAATATCTCTAGTATTTAGGTAGATTCACATGTCGAATCGAATCGAATTCATAATGTACTATATATCAGTTCACTAAAGAAGCAGCAAATTCAATTCAAGATTTTTGGCTAATAATCGACCAATCTTGAAAAGAATCAAGTTATATTCAACATAACCCCCTAAATGGTGAGGTTTTCGGGGGTAATTTACTACAAAAGTTGCATTATAGGGGATTTTTTTGGCAATATTAATAACAACGGCACCTTTTTAACAAATAGGGTAAATACAAGGGAGTTGAATGCAATAAAACAAAACATTTCATAGAAAGTAGTATGAAAATATTCCGAAGGTGCAACGTACCTGTAATATCGATTTTGTACGAGATCCCGACAGCAGTGAGTGACCTGGCAATTCTTCTGGCAACCTCCTCGAACTCCTGATTCTGAACAAGAGGGAGTACGGTGCATTTGATTGGAGCAATTAGCGACGGAAACCGAAAGACGTTCAATTGTTCTTCCCCACCGTCTCTAGCAGGCCTTGTATAAAATGTATGCTCATAGAGACAGTAAATGATTCTTCCTATACCGAACGATGGTTCGATAACGGACGGTGTGAAAACCCTTTGATGCTCTTTTTTAATCTCTTTGGAAATCGAGACCATGTTACTCTTTATGGTCACATTTTTGTCGAGGGTGCAAACTTTGAAATCCGCCTCTCCCTTTGCTTCCAAAGTTGCTTTCATCTCCATTGCTTCCTTTTCGCCCATAGCCTGTTTATAAAGTTCGGAACGAAGTTAATTTTACGAGTTTTCAAGATCCAAATAGTGTTAGTTGTCAACGGGGAGATATCAATCCTCCTCAAATCTCCAAACAAAACGGAATCACGGGTACAAAGGGAATTTAGTCAAAACGAAAACGGAAGTAATATATATATATATATGTGTGTGTGTGTATACCTCTAAAGCTTCGACCACCATCTTTTGGCTACCTTTAAAGGCAAGACCGAGCTCTTTCTTTACTGGAGCTATAACAAGTTTCTGAACAAGACCAAATAACATTACAACGAAGGGCATAAAAGTCATAGAAAAATGCATTTAAATTTCCACTAGTAAAAAGGGGTTAAATATATATTTCAAAACGAGGAGAAAGAAGAGACCTCGACTTCTCTAGGCTCAGGATATTTTTCATGTGCGACGAGAGGAGTGCCACTATGATCCTGCAAATACAGGTCGTATAGTGAACCCATAAAATGCGTATTCACCACAAAATCACGGAAAAAAAACGAAAAAATAAAATAAAAAAATTCTTACAGTGTGAGCACGTAAATCGTACGCTGATCTATCGGCAATGCCAACACACTCGATCCAATCATGCGTGCATTCAATTTCAGCATCCCAACAGTCGGCAGCATAGTGTGCCATCTCGTTTGCTTGATGTTGACGGAACCTCAACCGGTCTTTGTCAATACCAATATGGGTTAAGAACAAGTACACTCGAGCCATGAAATAACCCAAGGTTTCATTATTCACAATCCCCTAAACCACACAGAATTATTTAACAGAGGCGAATAAAAACTAAAACATGAGTCAAATCGACAAGAAGAAAGCTAGATAATAGACCAACCTCCAAAACTGCTACTCCGATAGGTATTCTTCTCGCCGGTCGTTCAGACACTTGATCTTCTCTTGTGAGCATTAGAAATTCCAAATTCGAAATTTCAGAAAATTTGGGGTGAGATTTGTCATCGGGGTCTACAAAGTGTTCAATCTCTGCCAACGTAAATTCACGGACCCTCAAAAGACCCTGCCTCGGTGAAATCTGCGAAATTCATGCACGTAATTAAGCAACAGAGAGATTTTACTATATATTCATATACTGTCAGCAAAATATCGAAAAAAAAAAAAAAAGAATATGGATGTTGATGCAATCAATATGGTAGTATATAAGACCTCGTTACGAAAAGCTTGACCAATCTGTGCGGCCGCAAAAGGGAGCTTGTTCCCATTGTAGTAGTACAAGTCCTTAAAATTCACAAAAATCCCTTGAGCTGTCTCGGGACGCATAAACCTGCGACCAATCAGATTTCAAAAGTCAACTCAAAAAATCGTAAAAAAAAATGACGTGGAAAATTGGGTCAACGTATTCTCACCCGGGGCTCAAGCCAGATGGACCAATGGACGTCTTAAACATTAAATTGAACGGATAAGGGTCCGATAGAGCATTCTTTGTATCAGGAGCAGTAATCCCGTAACTCTTTATTTTTGCACCGAGCTCTTCCTCAGAGAGGTCGTCTAATACCGCGAGCACATGCCTCAGTTCTGCTGCCAGCTCAGCGCTGAGATTATGGTCGTTTTCGATCTTGTCTTTGCAATAGTCCTTGACCAAATGGTCCGCTCTGTAACATCTTCCAGTCTTTAAATCTTTAACCATGAGGTCAGTGAATTTATCGACATGGCCTGATGCCTTTAGAACAACCTCCGGTGTAACGGAAGGGCAATCGACTTCTAGCATGTTCTCTTCAAGGACAAAATGCTGAAACCCAAATATGACACTTAGATTATGAGCTGTTTTTTTCTCTTATAATATGTATTTAGGTGTTTGCAAAACCGACTTTTGCTTCTCTTAAAATAAGTTGCTTTAAGCTATAATTTTAAAAGCACTCATGCACCTGTTTTTTCTATTTAAATTGATTTTCAAGATTTTTTGCAAACATCCCCAACTTTTAAAATTACGCACTTAATATCAACTAACGGTGGTGTTTGCAAAAGTTTATTTAAAAGCAGAAGTTATGGATTGTGAGTTAAATTGGTTTTAAGTGCTTATTTCAAAAAGTTGGGGATGTTTGCAAAGTCACTGGAAAATAAACTTAAATAGAAAAAGCACGGTCATGGGTGCTTACAAATTATAGCTTAAAGTTACTTATTTTAAGAGAAGCAGAAGCAAAAGTTCATTTTGCAAACACATAAAAATAGATTATGAGCAAAAAAAAGCTCATAATCTATTTGTAAAAGCTTTTGCAAACACCACCTAACTCACAACCACTAACTTATGCTTTTAAATAAGCTTTTTGCAAACACCACCTTAACACCTTGGTAAAATTAACCTTAATTAATAATTATCATAACTACATAACCAAACACAGGTTAAACCTCTTTAAATTAATACAATCCAAACTATCAAAATTCTATTAATTTACCGAAATATTAAATTATCAAACTAATAATTTAATACGTTTTTTCTGAGGAGGAACACGATAAATTATTATTTATCCAGGTTCTAGTTACTGGTCTATTAATCACCATCAGAAAAATTAACATATAATTAAAACTAATTATCAACAATAGAAACCCTAAAAATGCCAATCCAAAATTCTGGGGGTTTCGTAAACTGGAGAAGTGAATACCTGCCGCCAAAAGGCGAGGACGTTAGACTTAACGGCGCATCCGGGTGGGCCGTAATCGTAAAGTCCGGCAACGCCGCCGTAGATTTTGAAAGAGGGGATAAAAAACAAACGCCGCTCTAGCGTGTTGACGACGGCGTGCCGGAACGCCTCCTTGTTGCGGGTTTCTTGGGCGGCGTCCATTTCTCAGCACACAAGACAAGAATCAACAAAGCCCCTAAGATTTCTATCTACGATCTATCCTATTCTGGCTACTGTGGGGACGAGAAGAAGAAAAATATCAGTTGCAGATTCTCAGTTTGGCCGTTTTGGGCTTAATTTCAATTTGCACCCTTGAAAAGCATCATTTTCGCACTCTGCATCCCGAAAATAATAAATAACACTTTGCACCCTCAAAACATGTTTAATCATTCAAAGTGCACTATAATATATTTTTCGGCCATAATTGTCCGTCGTTTAACTTATCTTTTGACCGTCAACATGGTCAGTTTCATCTATTCAATTGATTTTTTCTTCAGGGTGGAACGTTGCTAATATATTTTCGGGCGAGAATAACTCTGTTGACAATCAGAAAATAGGTCAACAATGGAAATTTAGGACGGAAAATAAATTAGCGTGCAATTTGAACAATAAAATATATTCCAAGGGTTCAAAGTGTTATAAATTATTTTTGAGTACAAAATGCCAAAATAGTACGTTTCGAGAGTGCAAAGTGAAATTAAGCTGCCTTTTTTTGGGGCCCGAATTTTTTTTTTTTTAATATTTCTTTCTTTTTAATAAAAGAATATTGTTTTACTTTCTTTCTTTTTCCAATTGTTTTTCTCTAATTTTTCGTTTTATTAATTGCTTCATTAATTCAACGATCAATTTTATTTTTATGACAATTAAGTTTATACTATCGTTTGAGAAGTGGATTTCTATTATCAGATTTGTATGCATACTGTAAATTTAAATATCACTAATAAATCATATTATAGTAGTGTAATATATTTTTTTTATTATAATTGTGATTGTCACGTATTTAAATACTTATGTTACCACGTGTATTGCACAAAGAGTAATGCCTAGAATTTTAAATTCCAAGGGGGGTGAATACATAAATTTTTTTACGAGTAGGGGGCGATAATGCTAATACACAATTTTTATTTTCTTTTTATACATATGGGGTCATTAGTAATAAGCCCCTCATATAGTTAAGAAATGGTGATACACCTGCATGGGTGTAGCTCAACTGGTTCCGGAGATGGTAAGTTGGTGCAAGGTCCTAGGATCGAATCCTGGCAACCGCAGTGCGGGAATTTCAACTCCAATGAGGGTTGGTTCCTTGTGGGCACCATGTCCGGGTCCGCTACCTTAACGGGCCGTTGAGTTACCATGATTTACATTCATCCATCAATCCTTGTCGGGCCAAGGGATGGGGGCCCTGTGGGCGAGGGATTTCGTCTTTTTTGTGCAAAAAATGGTGATGCATCACCCCTTAAATCTTTCTTTGTGATAACCTCTAGAAATTTTATTCCCAATATTACCCTTGTGTTAATTAGCTATCCCTAAAAATCAGCTACCACATTTAAATAAAAATATTTTTTTATTTTTTATTTTTTATTATTTTCGGACTTTATTTAGCTTTTTTTTTTAATAATATTTTTTTAATTTTTTTTAAACAAAAAAAATAATTTTTTTTCTCGACAGGTTTACTACTCCGAATGTGACTATAGTTGAATATGACTATAATCTACTATGACTATATTTGACTATATCAACTGTAGTCATATTCTTGATTTATATTGCAGTTTTTTACATTTTCAATTTAAAAAATCTGATTATATAGTCTAGTACAATCATGTTTACCAAATTATATAAAAAAACGAAGATTGCCTATTATTAAGAAAACAATCCAATCAACATCGTCAATAAAAAAATCACGATTTGAATCTTGAAACGAGAAGAAAGAACATATTTGAATATGACTACAGTCATATTGAACAATAATTATATTCGAATATGATTATAGTCATGTTATTGTTGCTGCTCAAATCTGAAACTATATGTTCACATGCGTAGAAAATAATAATAAAGAGAAATCGAAACAGACAGAAACAATTACCAAAATTAAATATGACTATATATGTGACCACATATGACTATTATGTATATTACTAAAAAACTGATTCTTGTCATTTGGCTTGCAAGTTG